ACCTCCGCCACCGGTGGGCTCCCACCATCACCAGTGCAGCCGTGCCCCCGCCCTCCCCCAGCCACTGGAGGCTGATTTTGCCATTCGCAGGGATCTCAAGATCGTATGCTCTCAGTGTCTCACAGCCATTAGGCATTTTCATATTGCAGAATTTAGCACAGTGAATTCATTGCCTTTGTGATTTTAAAGGCAGGAGAAATAAGGGCTAAATTCTGAAGCCTTTGTTCACTTTTTTTACCCCCATCTTTGCAGAGTTTCTAGTGCCCCTGGCATTATCACATGATCCCCAGCTTCTTCACCTATACTGTGTACTGCCTTTCTCCCCAAGCTGTCCACTGACTGCACGGTGTAGGCGCTACTGGGTAAAGGAGAACTTACTGAGTTACACACTATTCTCTGCCAGCCAGGGTGGCAGCATGCAGCCCTGGGTGACTAGCCTTAAGATGGAATGCTCATACTTAGTCTGCACACATCACAACTTTCTATTGCTTATACTTCACATTGCCTGTGTACTATTTTGTCTGACAGAATTTAAAAAAAATATATTTCCAGAATGAAGTCTGATATTCTTCTGTATAAACCTGAAGTGGAAGTATGAAGTTACACTGGTGTAAAATTGATATGAGAACTGTATTCCACCCACCTTTGGTATGAAATAATGAATATAAAATGATGTGATGAAGTCTTTTACTCCCCTTTAAAATCCACTATGTCTACTGCTCATGAAGAAACAAAAATATATGCATCCCTTTAGAGACAGGATCCAGAGAGTCTCAGTGCACACACTAATACACTGGTAATGTTTATTACCACAATTGGTTTGACAACATCACATACACTGAGCCAATTAGGATGGTGTCAGATGAGGAAGAACCTAAAAGTGTGTTACACTTATATGTGGCTAGTGGAGAGTTCAGACAATCAAGATGAAATCACCAGTAGGTTATAAAAAGTTCTTACAAAATTATATTTCCAAAAATATAGAAACTTTTCATAAAACACTGTGAACATTGTTGAAAATTTCTATTGAGAATTTCCATAACATTTTATTGTCTTTTATCAAAATCCTATTCAATGAAAAAGGATGTGTGGTTTGGAGGGGGAAAGGGGGCTGCATTGTATTTTTAGTAAAAGAAAATGTTTTTTATAATCTAGAATGTAATTCTGATTAAAATTAAATGGAATAAAATGTCAAACTTTTCTAAGGGGAAAAGTAACCTAAAAATAAAAAAATCAAAAACGCAGAAAATGGGTCTATTTTGAACCTGGAAAAATGGAAACAGGTTCCAAGTTTCCTACAAATCTGTTTTTTGACTAGCTCAGACAACTGAGTTGCTACTGTATTCAATATCACAACTTAATGAACTACTTGGCCTAATTCAGAAGTGGTGCATTTTAAGGACTCAGGTCCCCTCCTGCTAATCTTCACTGTGAGTGATCCTTTACTCGTAGGAATAAGTATTTACACAGCCAGGCTTCTATTTTACCTGGTAAGCCAGATCCTCAGCTAATGTAATTCAGCACAGCTAATTTGGAGCCACTCCAGTTTACCTCCATTGAGGATCTGGCCCTATGGATTTATTTTCAGACTATATTGTTATTGTTACTGATTATTTGTATTACTGTAGGACACAAAAATGAACCAGAACTGCCTAGTAGAAGACACTGTATAAATGTAAACCAAAGTCATGGTCCCATTCCTAAGAACATAACATTTACATACAAGACAAAAAAAAACAGACATAGAAACAAGTATATGAAAACAATGAGTCAGTATTGGTCAGCATGACAGGCAGCAGTCTCAGCAATAAAATTGAGAAGGAATTTTTAGACAAAACATTTTTACACCGCATCAGAAAATGTCAAGTCATAAAAACAGAAACTTTGCCCTGGACCCATCAACTTCGATCAAATCTTTGTTAGGAAAGATTTCAAATCCAAGGTCATCACTGTAGAGAGAGAAACACCCTGGACTAGTCCAGAGTCTGGTTTTTAGGACACTCACCAGGGAAATGGGAGACCCAGCTACAAGGCTGCCTTTCTCCCAGATCCAAACTGAATGGCCTTGTCACCAGGGTCTGACCATTCTAGGATGCCATTCAGGGATGACATCCTGCTG